TTAGGTGTAAGGTCAGGTTGTTTATTTGAGATGTTGGTTGTTTCTTAAGGTAGGATTGTATTGCTATAAACTTCCCTCTTAGAACTGCTTTTGCTGCATTCCATAGGTGTTGGGTCGTCGTGTTTTCATTGTCATTTGTTTCCAGGAATGTTTTGATTTCCTCTTTGATTTCTTCAGTGATCCCTTGGTTATTAAGTAGTGTATTATTTAGCCTCCATGTGTTTGTATTTTTTACAGAGTTTTTCCTGTAATTGATATCTAGTCTCATAGCATTGTGGTCAGAAAGGATACTTGATATGATTTCAATTTTCTTAAATTTACCAAGGCTTGATTTGTGACCCAAGATATGATCTATCCTGGAGAATGTTCCATGAGCACTTGAGAAGAAAGTGTATTCTGTGGTTTTTTGATAGAATATCCTTTAAATATCAATTAAGTCCATCTTTTTTAATGTATCATTTAAAGCTTGTGTTTCCTTATTTATTTTCACTTTGGATGTCCTGTCCATTGGTGAAAGTGTGGTGTTAAAGTCCCCTACTATGATTGTGTTACTGTCGATTTCCCTTTTTATGGCTGTTACTATTTGCCTTATGTATTGAGTTGCTTCTATGTTGGGTGCATAAATATTTACAATTGTTATATCTTCTTCTTGGATTGATCCCTTGTTCATTATGTAGTGTCCTTCTTTGTCTCTTGTAATAGTCTTTATTTTAAAATCTATTTTGTCTGATATGAGAATTGCTACTTCAGCTTTCTTTTGATTTCCATTTGCTTGGAATATCTTTTTCCATCCCCTTACTTTCAGTCTGTATGTGTCCCTAGGTCTGAAGTGGGTCTCTTGTAGACAGCGTATATATGGGTCTTGTTACTGTATCCATTCAGCCAGTCTATGTCTTTTGGTTGGAGAATTTAATCCATTTACACTTAAGGTAATTATGGATATGTATGTTCCTATTACCATTTTCTTAATTGTTTTGGGTTTGTTATTGCATGTTTTTTCCTTCTCTTGTGTTCCATGCCTAGAGAAGTTCCTTAGCATTTGTTGTAAAGCTGGTTTGGTGGTGCTGAATTCTCTCAGCTTTTGCTTGTCTGTAAAGGTTTTAATTTCTCCATCTAATCTGAATGAGATCCTTGCTGGGTAGAGTAATCTTGGTTGTAGGTTTTTCCCCTTCATCACTTTAAATATGTCCTGCCACTCCGTCCTGGCTTGCAGAATTTCTGCTGAAAGATCAGCTGTTAACCTTATGGGGATTCCCTTGTGTGTTATTTGTTGTTTTTCCCTTGCTGCTTCTAATGTTTTTTCTTTGTATTTAATTTTTGACAGTTTGATTAATATGTGTCTTGGCATGTTTCTCCTTGGATTTATCCTGTATGGGACTCTCTGTGCTTCCTGGTCTTGATTAACTATTTCCTTTCCTATATTAGGGAAGTTTTCAACTATAATCTCTTCAACTATTTTCTCAGTCCCTTTCCTTTTCTCTTCTTCTTCTGGGACCCCTATAATTCGAATCTTGGTGCGTTTAATGTTGTCCCAGAGGTCTCTGAGACTGTCCTGAGTTCTTTTCATTCTTTTTTCTTTATTCTGCTTTGCAGTAGTTATTTCCACTATTTTATCTTCCAGGTCACTTATCCGTTCTTCTGCCTCAATTATTCTGCTATTGATCCCTTCTAGAGAATGTTTAATTTCATTTATTGTGTTGTTCATCACTGTTAGTTTGCTATTTAGTTCTTCTAGGTCCTTGTTAAACGTTTGTTTTATTTTCTCCATTCTATTTCCAAGATTTTGGATCATTTTTACTGTCATTATTCTGAATTCTTTTTCAGGTAGACTGCCTATTTCTTCTTCATTTGTTAGGTCTGGTGGGTTTTTACCTTGCTCCTTCATCTGCTGTGTGTTTCTCTGTCTTCTCATTTTGCTTATCTTACTGTGTTTGGGGTCTCCTTTTTGCAGGCTGCACGTTCATCGTTCCTATTGTTTTTGGTGTCTGCCCCCAGTGGCTGAGGTTGGTTCAGTGGGTTGTGTAGGCTTCCTGGTGGAGGGGCCTAGTGCCTGTGTTCTGGTGGATGAGGCTGGATCCTGTCTTTCTGGTAGGCAGGTACACGTCTGGTGGTGTGTTTTGGGGTGTCTGTGGCCTTAGTATGATTTTATGCAGCCTGTCTTCTAATGGGTGGGGTTGTTTTCCTGTCTTACTACTTGTTTGGCATAGGTTGTCCAGCACTGTAGCTTGCTGGTCGTTGAGTGGAGCTGGGTCTTGGCATTGAGATGGAGATCTCTGGGAGATTTTCGCTGTTTGATATTACATGGAGCTGGGAGGTCTGTTGTGGATCAATGTTCTGAACTTGGCTCTCCCACCTCAGAGGCACAGCCCTGACGCCTGGTTGAAGCACCAAAAGCCTGTCATCCACACGGCTCAGAATAAATGGCAGAAATAAAGAAATAAAGAACGAGAGAGAGAGAGAGAGAGAGAGAGAGAGATAGAGAGAGAGGGAGGGAGAGAGGGAGGGAGAGACAGAGAGAGACAGAGAAAGAAAGGAAGAAAAAATAAAAATTGTTAAAATAGTTATTTAAAAAGTAAAGAAAAAGAAAGAAAGGAGGAAAGAAGAGAGCAACCAAACCAAAAAACAAATCCTCCAATGGTAAGAAGTGCTAAAAACTATAGTATAAAAAAGAAATAAGAAAAATGGACTGATAGAACCGTTGGACAAATGGTAAAAGCAAAACTATACAGACAAAATCTCACACAGAAGCATACACATACACACTCACAAAAAGAGGAAAAGGAAAAAATATATATATATCATAGCTCCCAAAGTCCACCTCCTCAATTTGGGATGATTCGTTGCCTATTCAGGTATTCCACAGATGCCGGGTACATCAAGTTGATTGTGGAGCTTTAATCCGCTGCTTCTGAGGCTGCTGGGGGAGATTTCCCTTTCTCTTCTTTGTTCTCACAGCTCCCAGGGGCTCAGCTTTGGATTTGGCCCCGCCTCTGCGTGTAGGTCGCTGGAGGGTGTCTGTTCTTCGCTCAGACAGGACGGGGTTAAAGGAGCCGCTGATTCGGGGGCTCTGGCTCACTCAGGCCGCGGGGAGGGAGGGGCACGGAGTGCGGGGCGGGCCTGCGGCGGCAGAGGCCAGCGGGACGTTGTACCAGCTTGAGGCGCGCCGTGTGTTCTCCTGGGGAAGTTGTCCCTGGTTCCCGGGACCCTGGCAAGTAGCGGGCTGCACAGGCTCCCCGGAAGGGAGGTGTGGAGAGTGACCTGTGCTTGCACACAGCCTTCTTGGTGGCGGCAGCAGCAGCCTTAGCGTCTCATGCCCGGCTCTGGGGTCCTCGCTTTTAGCCGCGGCTTGCGCCCGTCTCTGGAGTTCCTTTAAGCAGCTCTCTTAATCCCGTCTCCTCGCGCACCAGGAAACAAAGAGGGAAGAAAAAGTCTCTTGCCTCTTCGGCAGTTCCAGACTTTTCTCCGACTCCCTCCCGGCTAGCCGTGGCGCAGTAACCCCTGCAGGCTGTGTTCACGCCGCCAACCCCAGTCCTCTCCCTGTGCTCCGACCAAAGCCCGAGCCTCAGCTCCCAGCCACCGCCCGCCCCGGCGGGTGAGCAGACAAGCTTCTCGGGCTGGTGAGTGCCGGTCGGCACTGATCCTCTGTGCGGGAATCTCTCCGCTTTGCACTCTGCAGCCATGTGGCTGCGCTCTCCTCCGCGGCTCCGAAGCTTTCCCCCTCCACCTTCCGCAGTCTCCGCCCGCGAAGGGGCTTCCTGGTGTGTGGAAACCTTTCCTCCTTCACAGTTCCCTCCCACTGGTGCAGGTCCCGACCCTATTCTTTGTCTCTCTTTTTTCTTTTTTCTTTTGCCCTACCCAGGTACGTGGGGAGTTTCTTGCCTTTTGGGAGGTCTGAGGTCTTCTGCCAGCGTTCTGTAGGTGTTCTGTACGAACTGTTCCACGTGTAGATGTATTTATGATGTAGTTGTGGGGAGGAAGGTGATCTCCGCGTCTTACTCCTCTGCCATCTTGAAGCTCCCCAGAATACACATTCTTTTGAAGTGCACATAGAACATTTATCAAGACAGACCATGTGGATTTATAATGATTGAAATCATACAAAATATGTTCTCTGATTAGAATGAAATTATATTAAGAATTAATAACAGAAAAATATCTGGAATAATCTTTACATATTAGGAAACTAAAGAACACACATAATTCATAGGTCAAAGAAGAAATCACAGGGAAATTAGAAAATATTTAGAATAAAATGAAAATGAAACACAACATATCAAAATTTGTGGTAAGCAACTAATGCAGTGCTCAGAGAAAAACGTATACCTTTAAATGCTTACATTAGAAAAGAAGAAAAGGCTAAAGCCAGTGGTGTAAATTTCTAGTTTAAGAAGCTAGAAAAAGAGGAACAAGTTAAGCACAAAGAAAGTAGAGTGAATAATAAAAATGAGAGCAGAAATCAATGAAATAAGAAATGGTCAAAGAATGGAAAAAAAATAATTAAGCCCAAAACTGTTTTTTTCTTTCAATAAATAAAATTGAAAGATCTTTAGCTAGAATGATCCAGAAAAAGACACAAATTATCAGTATCTAGACTAAAAGAGAAGGCATCACTATAGATCCTACAGACACTGAAAGGATAAATAAAATTAAATATCATTGTTATTATTGTTGTTGATGTAATGTCAATGTAATGCCAATATATTTGACAACATATGAAATTGACAAATTTCTTGAAAGATACATAGTACCAAAAGTGGCACAGAAAGAAACAGAAAACCTGAATAGCTTTGTCTGGCATTACTGGTGAAACAACCAAATATGTAAGAAAAGAAAACATACTGATGTTACACAAACTCTTTCAGAAAAGAAAAGGGAAAATGAATTTTAGGACCACCCCGAAACCAAAACCCAGACAAAGACATTATGAGAGCAATATCCCTTATGAGCACATGTGCTGGGGGCACTACTGCACCCATCACGGGTCTCTGATTGTCTCGCAGGTATGCCGGCATCCTTCTGGACGAGGACGTCTTCCGAGGTTAGGAGCTTGTCGGCAGTCGCCCGCTGCAGGTGCTGGTGGCAGGGCTGAAGGCCTACAGTACCTGGGAGAACATTGGCTACCTGCAGGACGGCCGAGAGTGCACCGGAGGCCTGGTGAGCCCCCGCGGGCCCCCAGTCCTGCAGGGTCTGCGTGGTTACACGTGTGGGGGCTGACCGTGTGGCCAGTGGGATTTGGAACCAGGTGGAATTCCCTCCTGCCCTGGTGACCCTGGATGCATTACTTAATTTTGTCACCTGTGCATGTCCACCTTCTTGGATGCTGTGAGGACGGATGCAGACCATGCTTGTAAAATGCTTGGCCCGTGGAGGCCCGCGGTAAATGTCATGAAACTTGGTGGTGGTGGTTGTTGAGAGTATAGGAAAGGGCCAGTGGGGGTCAGATGATCAAAGCTCTGCTCCAGTGTTTCAATCCCTTGGGGAGAAGGCAGGAGTGACCCCAGGGGTTTCTACCCTGGGAAGGAGGCACATGGGGATATGCCAACCATTTAGAGAGTGTATAGAGTGTCCCCAGCCCAACCCTCAGACCATTTTGAGCAGTGAGGGGTGTGAGGTATGAGAAACCCCAATATGAATCTTTGCAGAGTCGAGGGGAGTCTGAGGACAGCTGGGATCTGTGCTCTATTCCTCTACAATCCTGAGAGTGGAGGCGCCTGCGTGATGCAGGATGCCAGAGTCTCTGCATCCCTGTGGGAGCCCAGCACTGGTGAGAAAGGGGACCCAAGTGGGGTCTCTGAGGACAGGATGTGGGGGATGTGTGGTTGTGGACCTGTGACTCCGTGGCATTGCACGGCTGCAGACATCAGCTCTGATGGCATCTGAGGTTCAGCCCCAGATGACAGTGCTGTGTGGGTGACCCCCAGGGACCACACCGCCTCTTCGTCCTGTGGGCCAGAAGCAGGCCCTGCAGGAAGAGCAGGGAGGAGGGAGCCCCTCTTGGGCCTTGGGCCTGAATTCCATCTTGAACTTGACTGAGTATTTGCCTAACAACAGCAGCTCTGAACCAGAAGGGGAGGCTGAAGAATTTTAGCCTCAGTGAGAAGGGGTCAAGAGTAAGTCCAGGGTGGTTGTAGAGAATAAAAGGGGAGGATGCGTTTCTGGAGAGCCCGGCCTCAGAGCGTCAGAGTCGGGGTCCATGGAGGGGCGAGGAGGGGCTGGGCCTTCACCACCGGCAGAGCCCAAGGTTTCTCCCACATGAACGGTGAGGATGGGACTGGGAGCCTCCTGCGTCCTTTCATCTGAGAGTCACCGTGCTCACTTCTCTCACGGTGGCTGAGTAAGGATGTGCACGTGGTGAAGGGGACCTTGGTTGGTCAGACGTGCGTACTGTGTCTGTGACGGTGGGGGACATGCTTGCTTTTCCAGTGGGAATGATGTCGGGTCCGCCTGGAAAAGAAGGAGAATAGGGAATAAAGTGACAGCTGGCGCTGGGGCGCAGCTGGACCAGGAGTACAGGTCCTCTGAGGCAGCTGGGGGCGCTGGCTTATAATGACCTTAAGTGACCTGACACGTGTGAGGCCCCTGCCAAGGGGCTGGTTTCCATCCATCCAGTGGCCCTGCCTGCTCATGCCCTCCTTCGTTGCCACGCACCGACCGGCAGTGCAGAGATGACCCCTTCACCCACCATATTATGGAAAAGAACCTGACCGTGGAGGGCTGCTCTTCCAGGCCGGATGCCAGGCCTGTAATCCCACCGGGCTCTGCTGCCTCATGAGGCTTTGCTTCCCAGTAGCTCCTCAGCAATGGATGCAGAGGGCCCTGATTTCCATTTCTGTTCCTTCCCTTCTCCTCTCCACCCCCATATCCACCCAACACCTAGCCCAAGGCTATTTGTAGAGACATAAATATTTGTTGAAAGGAAAGCATGAGCATCTTCTAATTGTTCTAAGTTATATTTACAAACGCCGCATCTTGTGCAGGCAGGAGGTCTCCAGGAGTGAAGTGTGAATGTCTGGGAGCTCCCGAGATGATACTGAAAACCACCTCTTTCATGGCCCGTAGGTCTAAGTAGGTCTTGCTTCAAAAAAATGTATTTCAACACACATTTACTGGGTTTGAAGCCAGCAACCCTGGGTGTGACCACAGGAAAGTTTTTCCCTTCACTATGCCTCATTTTCCCCATATATAAAATGAGGATAAACTCTCCTTTGTAGTGGTTGTGAGGATTAAGGTATGCAAGATGATGAGCATAAAATGCTTCACATGTGAACCCAGGAAGCAGCAGCTGACATCTTTATGGTGTGCTTACCCTGGGGATTTGGAGAAAAAAAAAAATACCACATGGTCTGTTTTGCTTGCCATCGTAAAGATGGATACAGAACCCAGACTGGTATGGCAGGTCCTATGCAGCAGCTGGGGCTGGGAGGACTCAGTGACATCTGGAGGGGGGCGGGGGGCAGTCGCTGAGCAGTGTTATTTTAGCAATTTAGAGGATGAACGAGAGGCTTCGAGATGGGGGTCTGAGGACCTGCTGGATAAAGGGATACCTGCACACAGGTGAAGGTGTGGGAGTGTGTGGTGCATCTAGGGACACTGGGACAGGCATGGGCTGGGTTCAGGTGAAGGTGCAAGGGAGGAATGGCAACTTTATTCAGAAAGCCAGCAGACCGAGAAGATGGTGGACTCGTGTCCCAAAGAACCATCTTACTTGAGTTAGAATTCAGGCTTCTTTTATACTAAAATGGGAGGGAGTGTGGTTAGTTGTTGGAAACTTCTTGGTGTCAGAATCCTTTGTTCTTGCAGCTGTCCTTGTAGGTCAGGTCACGAAGTTCCTGTAAACCTTCCACAAGACAAATGTTATTCTCTGTTCTGCAACTTCTTATCTCTTATTTGAATGGGAAAGTGTTATACCTTTAAAGGTCAGAGCCTTGCGAATGGGCTATCCTGTATATTTTCACGCTGTAAGCAACATTCTTAACTTGTAGCAAAAGCAATAGAATACAAAGTTTAAAGTGAAAGAACAGATCCAATATGGTGTCAGATTTGTTCTTCCCTGTTGCAAAAGAGCAGGGACCAAGTCTTTGATCACCACAACCCTACTTCTGACTATAGTGGGGAGTATCAGTAAGCAGCTGTTGACTGACTAAACAGACTGAATGATAGACTGATAGACAGACTGATGTCCATCAGACAGATGAACTGATGGGCAGATGGACTGACTAAATAAATGACTGCCCTGTGCCTCCATTTTTCTTTCTTACCCTTAGAAGTTAAGATTAATCCACAAAACTTGGCCCCTTTGGTCTTTCCTTGCTTTATTATTACTTTTTACCTTGAACATTTTATTTAAACATCTGACTCTATTGTTAAGTATTTGGAGACAAAGAACACGGGCATTGCCTTGAGGCTACTCATATTCAGAAGCAGGCTCTAAAGCCTGTACAGACCCATTCTGATGGCTCATTTGTTGAGTAGTTTAGGAAACAGGGACTTGAGAAGAGGGCTGAGATGGAAAATCATTGTTTTCGTTTTTGCGGTACGCGGGCCTCTCACTGTTGTGGCCTCTCCCGTTGCGGAGCACAGGCTCCGGACACGCAGGCTCAGTGGCCATGGCTTACGGGCCCAGCCGCTCCGCGGCATGTGGGATCTTCCCGGACCGGGGCACGAACCCATGTCCCCTGCATCGGCAGGCGGACTCTCAACCACTGCGCCACCAGGGAAGCCCTGGGATGGAAAATCATTGTACAATTTATCAAGATATGACTAATCTGGTGCCTAATTTTTGCCTCTACTTTAAACGTACACCCTGTTTAAATCCCGTTTCCCTGGACTGCTAACTTTCATGTTTGTTACTATTGCCTGAAGTGAGCAATGTCTGCGGAAGGCAGCTTCTTTGCCGAGGAAAGCATATTTGAAATCACATTTCTTGTATTATTTTCACCAATTACAGAAGTGGTGCATATCCATCGTAGAAATTTTTGAAACTACAAAGACACAAAGAAGAAAGTAAATAAATCCCACAATTATACTTTCCCAGGGATGATTGCTATCATTTGCACTGTATTCGTTCTATGCACTGTGTACGTATGTGTTTAAAATTTTATAACCTCTCCTTTTCATCTATGAGTTGATATGGTTACCCCTTCCGATCAGTTCTTTGCAGTGAAGTTTTGACGGCTGGTACCATTTATCATGGAGATGCACCACACTTTATTCAACTAATTCTTTAGCGTATGTCAAATTTTTCTTTATTACAAATGACACTATAGACAACATTTTAGTAGCAAACTTTTTTCCCACATACCTATGATTGTTTCCTTGAGATCAATTATTTAAATGATATTTGTATTGTCACCAAAGGTTATACTAGTTCCCACTTCTGCCAGGAGTTGAACACAGAATCTTAATAGTTGCAGGACTACTGGCTTTCAAATTCTTTTGACCGTGACCCATAGAAAAGGGTATACTTTCAGTACCACCCCGTATTTACAAACACATATACACAAAATTGAAAAGATAAATTTTATGAAACAGTACTCATCTCACTATTGTGATCTAGTGCTCTAGTATTTTCTTTTAATTTTATGTCATTTTAAGAAAAAGCTAGTCATGGTGCATTAAGCTGATTTCATCACCTGCTAGTGGGTCATAGACTGTAATTTTCACAACGCAGCCTGGACTCACAGATCAAAAAAGGACCTTGCTATATAGAGTTGAGAGCTGCACCTCAGCAGAGTGTGTCCACAGTGATAAAAAGAAGCTGGGCTTTCAGGGGAAAGTATTTTCTAGCTCAGTCTGTGGGGTGGCTTCTGCTAAGACCCAAATCTGATAATTCCGTTTTTACCGGAATGCTACTAATTTGGCCCTTTAGGATTTAAGATTATGTATCTGTAAGTGGGAAAGAGATAAAGGCCTTTAGATATCTCCTAAGCATAGACACTAATAGAAAATGATCAGTTCTTGCTGGCTGCTGCCTCATCTTGGATCTGAGGGGAAAACTCATTGAACAGCAGCCTCCAGCGTTTGGACCGGGCGAGAGTTCACGATCCCAGCATTGCTGCTCTTAATCTGTTCCATGGAAACTTTTGGATTCTGAGAGTTTTTCTCTTCATAAATCAGTGTTTCCATAGCACTTGGTGGTCGATTTGAATAACATC